GCCTCGGGGTCCTAAGTGTCCAGGACTGTCGCCCAGCAGTGAGCGGCCCAGCGGCTCAAAGAGGAGAGAGCACGAAGGATGCACTGCAGGCAGCCCGAGCAGAGCAGGTGCAGGCGCCACCCGCTGGGGCCTGGAGTTGGGCTGCACACTGAAGGCTGCAAGTGGTCCCAGGCCTCTGTGTCCACTGGTCCCTCTCCAGCATGGGCGATGGGCAGCAGGGCCACGGGAAGCTGCCGGAACGTGTGCTCTGTGGGCTCAGGCGCTCCTGCGGGTACTCCTGGCATCGGCACGAATCCTGGCAAGAGGCCTGCACCGGGCTGCACCGGGCTCTCTTCCGAGGGGCTCTGGGCCTCAGCTAAGAGTGCTCGGTATCGCAGGAGGACCGAGGGCAGCTGCCAACAAGGACTGGAGAGCAGTGGCTGGTGGTCATCGCCGGGGTGGCTTGAGGACTGTGCCAGCGGCAGGAGGACAGGAGGTAGCTGGTCTGGGGAGATCCGAGACCACGGAGGATGGCGCTCTGGAGCCCGGTCTGCGGAATCCCACGCCTGCCTCAGCGCGTCGTGGTCCAGGAGAAAGTGCGGCTCCATGGCAGAGATCTTGGGGCAGGAGGACATGAGCCTGGAGCTGATGCAGAGGCAAAGCCTTGGGTGCTGCCTGCAGCCTGGATATTTATGCTCTCCCGGGGGGAGAGGGCGGGTGCCTAAACCAATTACTTAATCATGTTCGAGCCCTAAATTTCAACTAAACACTCCATCCAGTCATTCAATACACAGTAAGACCGGACCCTCCCCGCCCCCGGTGCACAGACACCCGGCGGCATATGGGCCTTTCTGCTGGACGAATACCGCTGCACGGACATCCCAATACCGCTGCTCGGACACCAGGGAGCAGATCGGCCTTTCTGCTTGATGAATACCGTTGCACAGACACCGGGCGGAACATCGGCCTTTCTGCTGGAGGAACTCCGCTGCATGGAACCAGGAGGCAGATCGGCCTTTCTGCTGGACGAATACCGCTGTTGGGACTGCTGGATGAATAACGCACGCATATCCGGCGGCAGATCGGCCTTTCTGCTGGAGGAATTCCTCTGCACTGACACCAGGGG